ATATCCCATATCAACTATGCCCCGTGCTCAAAGCATCTTTCTGAATGTGCTCTGCCATAACGCTTCAATGTTCCTTCTCTATTGACTCTTCTGCCTTGTGCTGTACGTTACCAAGTCCAAATCAAAAGGGCAATATGGCTGAGCATCGTCAAACTGGACTGTCTAGGACAAATGAAAAATCGGGCAAAGGGTGAACAGGGCTGCCACCTCAAAATGATGCTTGGGGCTGCTTAGCTTTTCCCAGGTTCTCTCTTTGGCAGAACGTGTCTCAGTTTATCTCAGGCTCTTAATTCCCTCATGGTATGAAGCTTGGCACTGCGAATGAGAACTGACCACTTTAATTTCACTACCACTGGGAAGAAGAAGGGTGATGATGCGCAAAGCAGATCATTCACTGGTATGAATGCAAAGAGATTAAATGTCTTACTGAAAAAATTAAAGGTTCTTGCTAGAGCCTATTCTCTTGAACAAGCCTTTTGACGCTTCATTAACTCTGCTTAGGGTCCCTCCTCCGCCAAAGGTGTGGCTGGCTCTGGCTTTTATTTCCATGCTCCCCAAAGGAAAGAAAGAACAAAGCTTTTAGGAACAATATACCAATTTAGAACAATTTTGATCAATCAAATTATATTTTACAGTTTTAAGATTCTGGACAAGGACCCCTGTCATCCCTCATGCAGAAGCGGCCACAAAGTGGATGCATTTGATTGTCTCCTATCTTCAAGCTTATTGCAATTTGGAAGGACGAGCGACAAGATTGAAAGCAGGTAAGCAATCAGGTCATCTGTTGGTGCAATATTCGTTGTCAATCTGAAAGCACTTCCAGGCATAGAGATATAAGAACTGTCCTTAAGTACAAGTAGCTGCGTATTCAAACGCGTATCAACGCTGCCTTTAGATATAGTTACATGCATACTGATGCGCTGTGACACAGAGGCAATTTTCCCCCTGAATGTGGTGAAAAAATGGAGTTTAAGCTTCAATAAAGGTAAATATGCACATGTGATCATAGAAAGGGCTATTTTTTTTTTTTTTTTTTTTTAATTTTTATGTTTGGTGAAGCAAGACAAGGAACAAGGGGAGGGTTTGAGGCTGATGGTGGATCACAGATTCTGGAAGATATTTTCCTAACGCACAGGTGTCTTAGTGGGGCAGCCTGAGCTTCACTATATTGCTCTGTTCGTGTATCTCTACCCTGACCTGGGGAGCAGATTGCCTGTGTACGTGTGTTGCTTAACGCTGTGGTTTATTCAACCCTAAATCTGACTGCTGAGGACAACGACAAGAGGCAATTAGTGCTGACTGTTGCGTTGTTTCTCTGTTAAACAAAGCCTTGTCACTTGGAAACTGGACTAAATGTTTGAAACCTAAACATAGCCTGGAAGGAAGATTCAAGTTGCGAGATGCAAAAGCCTTTAGAAAAAAATACATGCTGTGCAACCTGTAGAATGAAAAAAAATAAGAAAATGGCCATATTGGCCCATTGTATTAAGTGAATAGAAGCCTTTTTCTTTCCAAGCAGTGATCTTGGAAAGACTCCTTGACGAACTTGCAGCAGAAGATCAACTATAAGGTTAACATATAGTGCTGACAAGATAAGTCATCAATGCTAAGACCCTTCAACATTTGTATGATGCGGGTGCTTTTTATTTCCTTTAAAAACATAGGAAAATCAGACTGAGCAACACCTTGTTGCCTTACTTGTGATCTGTCTGTTGGATCAGTACCTTGGTAGTAGCCATACAGGGTCTAATAAGCAAACACGGGAGCTGAGGATGGATGACCACCTAGCCCCCTGCTACAGGATTTATTCTCCATCTGTGATCCTCAGAGGTGGCTGCTAACATTATAAGATGTTCGTTAGTAGTAAGGTGGATGCTTGACGGCTGCAATAATTTGTAAGGCATGTTAAGATTTATAATGAACTGCAGCAAAGGGAAATGCTTTTAAGATTAACTGGTGCACATTTAAGAGGTAAAAGAGAGGATGAAGGATGTGGTACTTCTAAGAAACCTTAGGATTTGAATTCTTTCCTTGGACTTTTTAAGTGAAGATACAGTTTTATTGCTTCTTGGGTTTTTTGGTTGGTTGGTTTTGGGTTTTTTTTGTGTGGTTTTTTTTTTTGTTGTTGTTTTTTGACAGACCGTAACTATGTTGTTTTGGATGGGCTAGTTTGGATTTACAGCAAAGGTGGAAAGAAAAAAAAATTGCCAAGGCAAGGCAGGTGTTTCACAAATAAGATTTGTGGCTGTCATTCTCGCAGTAACTCCTCTGCTGAAGAAGTTACCCTGGGGGATGAACTGTCCCAAATCATAGCCTAAAAAGTTAAAGGCTGAATTAACATAGTACAAATTACTTGTCAGTAGCCAGTAAGAGAGGTCAGTCGTATCTAGGCCTAAAGAATTTGGTGGTAAGAATTTATTTTTACGGTTTTTAGCAGCAAAAACTAACACGATTTTTTGGGGCAGACATGAGAAAGCCCTCTTTTTTTAACCTATCTGTAAGTGACCTGCCTGATGTTACAAAAGAAACGTGGTATAGAATAGCAAATTAAGCCCACGATTTTCTGACTCCAGTTTGATCTGCCAAACACCATCTCACCCTGCTGTTCTCTGCCCATCCATCTACTGGAAAAAAAGATTTATTCCCAAAACGCTTTCC